ATAAAAAATTAAAAAATTAAAAAATAAAAAACTTGTTTGGTTTGAACCAGTAGAGTTTTCATTTTTCATCTTAGAAATTTAAAAAACTTTGGAAAACTATAAAATCACTTTACCAATTTACATACAATTTGGAAACTGAAATTTTCATTTTTCTTGGAAATTTTTTTAAAACTGAATAAACCAAATTCTTTTTTCAAAATTTTCATTTTCATTTGAATTTTTTCATAAAAAATTAGAAAATTTTCTACAACCAAACGCCCTCTAATCTTTTACCTTTTTGCCTTTTTTTTTTCTTCACAACTCTCTCACATTAAAATGGTGGACTTGGGTTGAAAGTGATGAATATTGTGATTGGTTTTTTTGGAACCTATCATGTAGACTTAGGTCATTCAATTATGGTTAAATAGAATATAATATTGAAGACAGAAAAGGTAGAGTTATGCTCATTTAAGGCATCATAGGATTTATAGTGTAAAAATGTGGGGGTTTTAAGAAATTATGAGTTCTCTCCCATCAAGCGTGTGGCTGAGAACGGTTTGGTGGAGTCAATTACTACCCAGACGCCCCAACAAGTCGACCCGATCCAGGCCCCAAATTCCAATATGGCCACACCGGTAAGGCCCATTCCTACCATTCCTCTCCCAGGTGGGGATGATTGGCCCACTTCGCCTAGCCCAACACATCTGGATGCTCAGCCCCAATTATTTGACAAAGGATGGTCTCTTGACAAGAGAAGGAAAGTTGTCCGTAAAACTCTGAATCATTCGGTGTTCGCTCTCTGGAACTTGACTCGTGGCCTCCTCTTCCTTCCTCTAACAAATTGCCTGCGTCTGCCCCTCTACTTGATCTCAACCTCTCCGCCTCCGTTCAAGATCTGGGCAACTCCGGTTCTCAATCGGGTGACGATTCTACCTCTAACGAAATCTCCAGTCTACTTAAGATTGGTGGTGATGTTGGTTTTTAGATCCCTCCAGATGCTCCAATCGTTGTGGATATTACAAAATTGAATTGCTTAAGTTTCCAATCGCTGTGGATGAAGTCAACAATGGTGTTCCAATCGCTGTGGATGAAGTCAACAATGGTGAAGGTGTTAATGAAGTTTCCCAATGAATTGCTTAAGTTTGAACATCAGGGGCTGTAGGGAATCTCACAAAATTGAATGGATTCGTAGGTTAAAAAACTCACATAAAATTAATTTTATTGGATTGCAAGAGACATGGGTTGCTGATTCAAATAATATCGACTTTACTGGGGCATGGGGTAATATAGATTTCGATGTCGCATTTGTTAATCCAGTTGGAAGATCTGGAGGGATTGTTAGCATCTGGGATCCAAATATTTTTGCCAAATCACAAATTTACTCTTCCAGACATTATCTAGCTATTTCGGGTCATTGGATCGGTGTTCCTGGAGTTACAACTATTGTTAATGTTTATGGTCCTCAGTCTGTATCAGATAAAAGGAAACTTTGGAGGGATCTCATCAATTTAAAAAGTAGCCTGGATGGTGTATGGATATTTCTGGGAGATTTTAATGCTGTTAGACATGAAGGTGAGAGAGTCAATTCCAGATTTTGTCATTCTACTGCAAGAGACTTCAACAAATTCATTGCAGATGCTGGACTTCAGGAATTCAATCTTGGTGGAAAAAAAATTCACTTATTTGTGTTAGGATGGTTTGAAACTTAGTAAATTGGATCGCTTTCTGGTGTGTCCAAACTTCATTGCACAGCAACCACTCACCTCTGTTATAGTCTTACCACGAGAGTATTCCGACCACACTCCACTTGTGCTTATGCCCTCCAATCTTGACTTTGGCCCACCACCCTTCAGATTCTTTAATTCCTGGTTATTCAGGGACGATTTTGATACCACATTCGTATCTGCTTGGAACTCCTTTGTGGGTTTTGGAACGCCCGATATGTTCTTAAAGGCTAGGCTCAAATATGTCAGGAAAAAAATATGTAACTGGAGGAATTCATAATCAAATAAAGAAGCCAAATTACTGTCCCAATTAAAAGCAAGGGTGGAGCAAATAGAGGAAGCTGCTGAAACTCGTTCTTTGACAGAAGCTGAGATATCGGAACGCAAAGAAAACAAGATCAGAATTTGTGAATTAGAGCGATTTGCAAAACTTGACCTTCAACAAAAAGCAAAAATTTGATGGTTAGTTGATGGTGATGAAAACTCTCACTTTTTTCATGGTGCAGTCAAAAACAAGAATAGAAAAAACAGAATGCATGGTTTGATAATCAATGGTGTTTGGAACATTGAACCGGAAGCGATTAAACGCGAGGTACATCAATTTTTCAAAGACAAGTTTCATGAAAAATGGCCAGTCAGGCCAAAGTTTATCAACCCTGGTTTTAAAACCCTCTCTCCCCTTCGTTGCTCGATCCTCGATGCCCCAATTTCACCTGAGGAGATCAAACAAGCGATCTGGTGCTGTGGTGGGGTGGGGTGGGGGGGAAATCTCCTGGACCGGATGGATACACGTTTAAGGTATTAAAAAAGAAATGGGACCTCATTAAACACGATATCATCAGATTTGTTGCACATTTCGAATCAACAGGAAGGTTCGCAAGAGGATGCAATTCCTCCTTTATCACTCTCATCCCTAAGATCAAGGACCCGATGAACTTGGGTGATTATAGGTCGATTATCTTAATCAGATGTATGTATAAAATTGTTTCCAAAATCTTGGCTTCACGACTAAAACAGGTGATTGGTGAGGTCGTGAATGAGGTCCAATCCGCTTATATAGAAAGTAGAATTAATTGGGGATACCTAGAATCTACAATGGAACAAATGGGATTCAGTCAGAAATGGAGACATCTTATTCATGGGTGTTTAACGTCTTCAAGGGCATCTGTCCTCGTCAATGGATCCCCAACAGAGGAATTTTCCATATCAAAAGGAGTTCGACAGGGCGACCCACTATCACCTTTCCTATTCATAATAGCAATGGAGGGGCTACATATTGCGGTCAAAACATCACAGGAAAAAGCTCTCATCCAGGGTATCTCATTACCACATAACGACCCTACCATTTCACACTTATTTTATGCAGACAATGCCATATTCCTTGTAGAATGGAATAGGAGTAGCATTAAAAATCTGGCCAGTGTCAATTTTCATAAATCACGACTATATGGAATTGGAGTTTCGGATTACAAACTACTTTCGCAGGCTAAAATATTGGGCTGTCAAAGAAGTTCACTCCCATTTACATACTTGGGGGTCCCAGTTGGAGCAAATATGGCGTTGAAGAAACATTGGAGGCCAATCATTGATAAATTCCAAACACGCTTATCAACTTGGAAATCCAAAACTCTTTCCTTTGGGGGGCGACTCACCCTTATCAAATCAGTCCTAAATAGTCTCCCAACGTACTATCTTTCCTTATTCAAAGCTCCATCTGGCATTATTGATGATCTTGAAAAATTGAGAAGAAGGTTCTTGTGGGGCGGGGATGACTCAAAAAGCAAAATTCACTGGGTTTCATGGTCAAAAGTTGTAGCTACTAAGAAGGATGGTGGTCTTGGGGTCGGTTCACTAAGAGCCCAAAATTTGGCATTACTTACAAACTGGTGGTGGAGATTGAAGGCAACATCGGGGGGATTATGGCGGAAGAGCATCAACAGTATACATAATTTGACAAACAAGCCAGTCACTTATATTGCGAAAGCCTCACTTGGTAGTACCTGGTGTAATATTGCTAAGGCAATAAAATCTCTCCCTGAATTTGATATCAATCACCAGGAAGTCTTCACTCTAATTCCCGGTTCAAATGTCAATATCTTGTTTTGGAAGGATCGATGGTGTGGCCCTCTAACTTTACATGAACGATTCCCTAGATTTTATGATATGGAGTCAAAAAAATTGTGTATGATATCGGATAGAATCAATCAAACAGGTTTTAAATGGAGGTGGAAATCGGCGACTATGGATGGGGAGGTTTTAGTTGATTTTATGGAATTATGTTCCACCATACAAGGCGATAATACAAACCCTACACCAAGCGGGCTCTGCTTTAACTTAAATCCAGATGGAAATTACACGGTCAATACCCTGCGAAAAAAGATAGACTCCTCCTCAAACTCTTACTATGGCATAACAATCAACTGGGTAAAAGCAATTCCTTTGAAAGTTAAATGCTTTGTCTGGAGAACATTAATGGGTAGGTTGTCGGTGGCAACAAACTTAACAAACTGGGGAGTTAGTTTGGCAAACACAAATTGCCCTTTGTGCAATGGCGAACAGGAAACAGGCGATCATCTATTTGTTAAATGTCCTATAGCAATCAAGGCGAGATCTTGGATATTTAAATGGTGTGGTATTCCAGCAACCAACTTCGACACAGTTACTGAATTACACAATTTTGCAGCTACATGGGGGAATAGTCCAAGAAAAAGGGAGAGATTCAAGGTGGTGCTCTACGGGGTGCTTTGGTCTACGTGGCTGGCTAGAAACAACTCCATCTTTAAGGCGTCGAAACCGATACCAACTAGGATTGCGGATGAGGTGATATCTCAAACGTATGGTTGGTTCAAATATAGAACTTCTGATTTAAAATGTAGGTGGCTAGACTGGAGTATCTCTCCATTTTGTTAAAACATTGTATTGTCTCCTATAACTGCCCACAAATAGTCACTTGCTATTTGTGTGACTTTTATATATATATATATATATATATTATTCGCCGTTTCAAAAAAAAAAAAACTCTTGGAGAGTTGAATGGATAGTGGATGCCCTTATTCACATGGTTTATTTAGTAAAAGTAAAAAAACTAACCTTGTATACAACATTTTATCCGTATAGAAATCTTTACCCATTCAGCTACTTAACTAATACATGCCTTATTGGGAAAAAAAAAACAACAACAACAACGGTAACGGTTCTAAAGATCAAAGGATGTGATGTCTAGTAATCAAGCATCATACAAGACTCAGTCATGAGCGTTATTCCAAATTTTCTTTTTTACAACAATAACAATAACTTTTAATGATCAAAAATCAACTGAAAGCTTTTGAGCATTCTTGATAGCAAACGAAGAACCCAATTCTCAATCATGGCTTGAGAATTCACATTTTGATCGGTTGGCACAAAATGCCCTGCCCCTAACACCACCACATGGCTCAAATTATCCCATTTCTGCACATACCCTGCAACAACACCATTCACTCTCCATACATCTTTTTCTGCATCCAAAAACTTCCCAATCCCTTCCCACTTCATCTTCTTCACCCAAGACTCGACAGACACAACCCCATCTCTCAAATCACACTGCCCTTGATACAACAATAACTTAGTGTTCTTAACAACAAACTCCACCATGTACTTCACACTCTTCATCACATCTTCATGCACCGCTGCTCCAACTACATCACTACATTCCTCAAAAACCATCGATTCATTCACTCCTAATGCCTTTTTAACCTCTGGGTTCTTCAAGAACTCTTCTACCCAATCAGAACGATAAGGACCCTGTCTCCTGAAGTCATACAAAGTAGCTAGACCTGTGATGCTATGCAGAAATCCCAAAACGTTGTTTCTTGCATCTGTTGCATTGCTCCAATTACCAGCTTTTGTGAGTTCGATAGCTTTAATTTGAAGTTTCTCCATTTGGGTTTTCTGCTTCTCATTGATCAACCCAAGATTGTAACTATGGAGAGCATGAGTGGCGACTTGCGTTGCCGGATCTGTTAATCCATTTCCGATAGCTAATCCGTACAAATTGATCCGTTTAGAAGCGGGTAAAAGGGGGTTCTTTTTGAGAATGTAGTACCCAATTGATGGGACATATTTGCCAGAGTAACTCTCACCTGTAATGTAGATTGGACGAGATTTAAACAGCGGGTCTAAAGCGATAAACTTTCTGATCGCTATAAATAGATGTCTTGCTACAGCGTGTTGGTCTCTTGGGATTTCTTCGGGCGTCGAAGCGATACTAAAACCAGTTCCAATCGGATTATCGAGGAAAAGAAGTCCGAATATCCGGTTCCACTAACCTGGGTTAGGCTCGAGCGTAAGGTGTTCGACGTTTTGCTTCACTGAAGCTGTCACTCGCCATGGACCGAGTTCGTAGAAGTTCCCGGTCATGGAGGAGCAGCCAGGTCCTCCTTGAAGCCAAATGACAAGTGGGGTTTCAGAAAGAGAAGTGTTGCTGGTATTCTTGGCTTCATAGAAGGCATAGAATATGGCGGACCCGGTGGTGGAATTGACCGGAAGGTAGCCGGATTTTGTGGGAAGAGCTTCTTTGGGTAGTGTAGAGGCCGAAGAGTGTGATTCTAGGTGGTGGATGAGAGTAAGGAAGAGGAGGAGCTTGAGGGGTGTTGACTCCATTGATGATAGATGAGTGGGCTGTCTTTTGATCGGTCTGTCATTTTGTAAGCCAGATCGTTGCGCAGCGGAGAAAGCGGAATATAAAAAGTTTGGGGCCTTGACTTGATCGGTCTGTCATTTTGTAAGCCAGATCGTTCCACTTTCCACAACGACTCAACTCTCAATTTTTATAAATTGTATTTTTAACCTCTATATTTTAGGGATAATGACTTGATAGGGTAAGTTACTTTTTGAAATGTACACATTTAGTCCTTATTTTTTTTTTTGTAAATTAAACCATTATACTCGATTTTTTGTAATTATGCAATCCTTTTGACCGGTCATATACGATTTTTACTTTATTTTCTTGAAATGAAATAACCAGGTGGCATCCACATGTCACCTTACGTAGATATTGTTAAATTACACCACATTGAAACGACAATTAGGGCTCATTTAATCAGCCATTCCTCCATTCACTCAGCCGATAATCCCTCAAACTTCTTGACTCACAATCACCATCAACAATGGCAGAAGATGTAGATACAATCGTCGATGTACACTATAATGGGGTGTTCACACCTACCCCATTGATGTATTTTAATGGAGTAAAAGCCTCTGTACCATACACGGTTGTGAACAAGATGAACTTCCCTGATTTCATCCCCTTTCTTGAAAAGCTTACTAACGAAAGATGCGGAGATGTGTATTACTGTCCACATGAAGTGAGGTTGTTGGAGGGATTACATGCTATTCAGAATGACTGCGATTTTAACGAGTTTCTTGAAGATATCAATGAAAAGAAGAGATTGGATGTGTACGTGGATCATTATCATGAACCTTTGTTTGATTAGATTCAGGAGGAAGAAGCAGACCTTGAAGATGAAGATTTGGTTTCTATTGATGACGTTGACTCCATTTTAGAAGATGGTCTGAAAGCTGAACATGTAGAGGACGATGAAGTTATATCTCTCAAAAGAAACTTCAATGATCATTTCCTCAACAAACTTTGTCCAATACAAAATGATGACTTGGTTCAAGAAGATCATAATGCAATACGACCTATCTACCCAAGACATGATCATACTCAGGAATGGAATGAGATGAAGCCTCGATTAGGCATGAAATACTCTACTACTGCTGAACTTAAATACTCTCTTAGTTGCTATGCTGTAGCAAATGGTTATGATCTGTGGTATGAAAAGAATGACAAGACTAGGTTGCTAGTTAGATGTTGTAAAGGAAAGATTCCCACATGCCCTTTTAGATTGTATGCTTTCTGGATGAAAGAGGAACACACTTTTCAGATTAAGTCTCTTATAACAGAGCACAAGTGCTCTAGGGCATGGTCATGGCATTACAATCCTCTCAGATGGCCACAAGGTAATCATTCTATTTTTTTCAATTAACTTTAATTGTTTTGATCATTTAATTAAGTAATCATTTAATTGTTTGAATCGGGGATTATTTGAAGCTGTGAAGGAAAGACTTCCTGATGTGGAGCATAGATTATGTGCTAGACACATTCTAGCTAATTTCCACAAAAAATTTAAAGGAGAACAATACTTTAAACCATTTTGGAGGGTTGTGAATGCAACAACTGTACCAAAGTTTGAAGCAGCAATGAATGAGATTAAGTCATTGGAAAGCAGGGCTTATGACTATCTCATAGACAAGGATCCAAGGTGTTGGTCAAAGGCTTTTTTTAGAGAGGGTATGGACTATGATGCAGTAGAGAATGGAGTTTATGAAAGTTTCAATTCTGCTGTACTAGATGTTAGAAGGAAACCATTGATAACAATGTTGGAGGACATAAGATGTTGGGCAATGCAGAGGTTATGGATGCAGAAGCAAAATGGTTTGAGTTGGGATTTGGACATATGCCCAAGTATCAGAAGGGAGCTAGAGGATTTGAAAGAATTGCAAAGGTTAGTAACAATTTCATTAGTTATACATTGGTTTATGAAGGTAACTGACTATCTTCTTGTATATTGATAGATTTTGGGTACCTTATGTGAGTGGGTACAAAGAATTTGAAGTGTTCTCAGGAAATGAGAGGTATGTTGTTGATCTGAATCAGAGGGCATGTGGATGCAGAAGCTGGCAACTCACATGCATTCCATGTGTACATGTCATATCAGCAATTTCATCATTGAACCTAGATGTGGAGGCTTTTGTATCAAAATCCTATACTAAAGCCTCTTTCCTTAGTAGCTATGAGTATAACATCCACCCACTCAATGACAGTTCTGAGTGGCCACATGTTGAAGGACTTCATACTATTTTGCCTCCATTAAAGAGGAGGTTACCTGGCAGGCCATGTGTCAAAAGGAAAAGAGATCAGGCAGAAAGAGAGCTAAGTGGGCACACAAGGCATACTGTGTCAAGGGCAGGCATTCCTCTAAGATGTACCATTTGCCAACAAACTGGCCACAACAAAGCCACATGCCTAAGTAAGCCAACTCCAGCTCCAAGCACAACAGGTCCAAGTCAATCAACTCCAGCTTCAAGCACAGCAGGTCCAAGTCAATCAACTCCAGCTCCTGTCAAGAGAACTCCTGTGAAGAAAGCTTTTGTGAAGAAGGCTCCTGTGAAGAGAAGTCATATGAAGAAGGTTCCTTTGAATGATGCTGGTAGGGTGAGAAAATTTTCAGAAAGAATCACAGAAATTGGTCTTCAGAAAAATGTTAAACTCAAGGATGGAACTGGATGCAGCCAAGACAAACCTGTGACCTTAGAGTAATTAGGTTTTGGTGTAGTAGGGTAATGCATGTGATATATATTTTGATGTACTGTGGGGTAATCTTTTGAACTTAATTACTATATTACCCCTACTAGTTGTTTACTTTTGATGTACTTGTCGAATATTTTGAACTAAATTACCGTATTACCCCTCCTGGTGGGCTTATCTTTTGTAATTATTAAATGGATTGATGCCTTTTGTTAGCCACTTTTATTTGTCTTTACATTCAATTGTCTATAAAAAAATATTTCCTGTAATTTGTCTTGGTTTTACCTCCATTTGACTGAATTAATTACATCAACATCCATACATAATAGCAATAAACTTTACCATTACATAAACATAAAGTACATCAACATCCATTACATAAACAAGAATTACACAACAAGTCTATTACATCAAAATCCCCTAAAACCTCCAGAAGCATATCTTCAACCCCAAAACATAACCTTAACAATGACCAGCAAAATCAGTACACAAATCATACTCTTCAACTATTTCACTTCTTCTCTAACAGATGCCACATCCTCTAAAACTTGTATAAGATAATCTGCAACATCTGAAAGAGTATCTTCTACAATGGGCTTCATATTCTCAGGTTCTTCATCAATCCATTCCCAAAATTTACACTTTTTCCCTGGTTTCTGTAGTAATAAAATCAACAACATAGAAGGTAAGAAGAAGAAAATTGATGTGATTTGACAAATAAAATCAATTTAGGTATTTACCAATGAGTTAGGGCACACTCGAAATTTCTTTCCAGGGTTATCTTTGGTCTTGGAGGTACGAATTCTTGAAGGGAGTTCACAATCACAAAGGACTTCCTTATCTACTTTGTGATTGCTTGAACCTGTGGAGATTCTTGAGCCACTCGACATCTTCTTTCTTCTTCTACGAATTCCCCACTTCTCTTGTTCGAGTTTGAAGGTGATTCCTCCTGATTTTGGATGTTAACATTCGTTTATAAGGAGTGACTAAGCTAATTAATTGTTATGCAGTTGTTTTTAGTGCCACGTGTGCTTCCACATCAGCAAAACCTATAGAATCCGGTCAAAATGACCTATTGTGTACATATTAATAAAGTATAATGGTTTAATTTACAAAAAAAGGAATAAGGACTAAATGTGTACATTTCAAAAAGTAACTTGCCCTATCAAGTCATTATCCCTTTAAAATACTTCATATAAAATGATATTTTTCATTCTTATATCTTTTAAAATGTGACTTCGATCCTTTATTTTTCCCAACTTTCATAAATGATATTTTTCACCATATATTTCTTAAAATATTTTGTTAACGGTATTATTCACCTATATATATGTTTTAAATTATCACTTTGACCGGTCTATTTTTCCAAACTTTTATAAATGATACTTTCCACTTCTATATTTCCTAAAATATTTATATCCATATACTTATCTTTTTAAATATCATTGTAAAATGTCACTTTCACCCCATCTATTTTCTAAACTTTCATGTTTATCTCTTTACGTATGTATAAATCGGTATAAATTCAACGTGGTCAACATTTCAACGTAAATTTACAACTTTCGTTGGTTAATGTTATCTTTTATTATTATTATTATTATTATTATTATTATTATTATTATTATTTGCTTTCTGATGTAATCTTTTACATTTTTGCTCTTACTTTTATATATGTTTTTACGTATGAGTTGGAGCACATTTACTGCAAATTTTATTATTTGAACTTCTGCTTGTTAACTTAAACAAATAATCTTATTTGTTTATTTTTATGTAGACATCGGTATAAATTCGAGTTTTCTTACGTTTCGAAGTAAATTTTGTGTATGTTTTGGTGATTATTTGTATATATATTTCCTACGTAAATTTACAACTTTCGTTCGTTAATGTTTTCTTTTATTATTATTATTATTATTATTATTATTATTATTATTTTGCTTTCTGATGTAATCGTTTACATTTTTGTTCTTATTTTTATATACGCTTCTTACGTATGAGTCATGTCACATTTACTATAAATTTTATTATTTGAACTTCTGCTTGTTAATTTAAACAAATAATTTTATTTGCTATTTTTATGTACATGTCGATATAAATTCGAGTTTCCTTACGTTTCGAAGTAAATTTTATGTATGTTTTGGTGATTATTTGTATATATGTTTCCTACGTATGAGTTCAGTCACATATAATACATTTGCGTTTGACGGTATACATTGGAATTAGTCGGTAGTACTGACCTTGTATATTTATCTCGTAATAAATGCAACGATACATAACTTCTAATAATAAAATTATAAAAATTCAATTGACAGAACATTTACTAGTTTCTAAGAATAACCAAATTATAGCCATACTTACCAAAAAAATAACCAAAAATTTTTTTTTTTTAAAAATGAGAAAAAAGATATCGACATGTTTAGCAAAACTAGCTGATAGCTGGAAGTAGGTAATAGTTAGAAGCTATAATTTTTATTCGTTATTTGAATGTTTGGCAAGGTAGTTGTAAGATTTTGAAATGTATAAATTACATAAAATGATAATTGCTTAAAAAAGATAAATCTATAGAAATATTTTAAGGGTAATTATGGAAATTGATTTTAAAAGCTCAATAGGTTTTTCTTAAACGCTACATAAAGTAACTTTTGGATTTGGAGCGTTTTGTTTAAACTAAAAACTAACAGATCGTATTGCCAAACAAAGTTTTTTGTTTAATGTTCGAAGCCAAAAGCTATATACTCTGAAACGCTCATTGTCAAACACGTCAAGTTCCTCGAGAGGCTTACAGAGTTGTTATACTTTCTACGTACTCGCTAAAATTAACCATTTCGTTTTTTGGTCTTAATTTTTTTTTCTTTATAAAAAAAATTGAAAATGTCATAGTTATTAAAATTTTTCTACAAAATATATGATATATAAAAATCTAGAAAAAGATTATTTATTTATTTATTTATTATTTTTTTTTGAGAAAAGAAATTTTCACCTCTTATTTTATATAATAATTAGGATTCCTTAAAACAAAGCATAAATACGTTAACAATAAAACTCATTTAATTAGTAAAGATGAATAACTCATTATAACGTCCTAAAAATCCAAGATAAAATTTTCATTTTAAAAACCAATAATCCATATAACAATTCGTTCCCAAAACCATTCAAAGTGAAAAATAGTATTTAAACAGCAGAGCAAAAGTTATTAATGCGGAATAAACTCTAGGGGGATGTTGTGCAATCACGTCGAGCCCTTCCCTCTCGTACTGGAAGTACCTGAAACCGTAAACATGAAACCGTAAGCACAAAGCTTAGCGAGTTCCCCAAAATACCACATACCATACATATATGTGGGCCTAGCCTTCACATTGGGCCCATCCCACAATAATGGGCCTAGCCCTTCCTAACCAATGGGCCTATCCCAACATACAATGCAAGAGTCACAAAAGACAACTAGCATCCAACATAACATACATTGGGCCTAGCCCTTCCTAATCCATGGGCCTAGCCTAGCATACAAATGAGCCTAGCTTGTCATACAATGGGACTAGCCCGTCATACAATGGGCCTAGCCTAGCATACCATGCAAGAGTCATAAAGACAACTAGCATATAATAAATCATAGTGGGCCGACATTGGTGCCTTCGACCCACGGGTACAGTGAGGAGACTCACCTGAATCACAAAGCCGACTAACACTCACCTCAAAGCCATGCAACCGCCATTACAACACTCCTATCACAACATACATGGTCCAACCTTAGACTACATACATCTTGGCCAAAAGTCAACCCAAGTCAAAAGTCAACGACCCATAATGTCAATTATTTAGCCTCACGTCGTGACCAACCCTTGGCCACGTCGTGAGAGCTCACTCGGTCCGATTCCAACTCATCTCAACTCAACTCAGTCAACTCAGACATCAAAAGTCACTGGAGCTGATCTCACATGGTGAGCATCCTCCTCTCACACCGTGAGCTCCAAGAAGCTTAACAAAAAAAAGGTCATTCAACCATCATGCTGTGAGCACAATTTGAAGCCCTAAATCCAACAATTTAAGTCCTTAACCCATTAAGACTTTTACTCTAACTTTCCAGAAGTCCTTATAACTCCCTAAAACACTTAAAAGTCGATGCTTTATGGACATGTATGTCCAATACATGTCTAGATCTCATTTGGGACCAATAATGAAGAAAAGATCATCCAACTTTCATGCAAGGTTCCAAAACCCAACCATTCACTAGATCTGAACTTCATGGCGCTCTAAGGACCTTTATAACCCATAAAGTTGCCAACTTTATGGTTTCCATTCATTCAAACTGGCTCAACCAAGGAGAAAAGTGGGACAAAACTTAGATCTAGCCACAAACAACAATAAAGGTGGAAGCGTTGACACTTACAAGGGTCCAGAAACAATATGAAGTGATGATGATGATGATTCCTTGCAAACCTCTTCAAAAGATCACCTTCTTCTTCTTCTTCTTCTCTTCTTCCTCTTCTTCTTCTCTTCTTCTTTAAACCAAGAAAGGCTCCAAAATGACCAAGAATCAAGCAAGGGATGAAGGCTAGGGTTTTCTGAGGTGAAAGAGGGTTTGGAGGCTGACAATGAAACCTAAAATGGGTTTAGAGGTGCTTACATACGAAGGAAACCCTAAAAGATCATGGGCTTGGGCTGCATCAGTTCTCATGTCGTGAGCCTCTATGTCTCACGTCGTGAGACCAGTCCTGAGCAAAAGTTTTCATATAAACTCATCTCACGTCGTGACCACTCAAAGGTCACGTCGTGAGGCTCCATTCTTCCAAAATCCAACATTTTTTACTCTTTGAAACCCTAATTCGATTCATCTAGGAAAACGGGTGTTATACTCATTTATTTATTTATTTATTTATTATTATTATTTATTTTTTTGAATTTGGAGAAAACAAAATATCTTGTTATATTTTATAAAAACTAGTATATCTTAAAATTAAAATACAAATAGTTAAAACAACTTATTATTTTTTTAACAAACATACTAGTATAGTGAG